TACATATATATATATATATATATATATATATATATATATATATATATATATATATATATATATATATGTATATATATGTCCGTTTGTAAGTGTAGGTGTGCGTGCATATTACTTAAAGCTGATTAACGCCCTTTGCTTTTCCGTGAATCAGCGAAGCGTTTCAAATGACTATTTTTTCCGGAAAATGTATTATGTCAATCTTCAGGCGTGTGGAATTTTGTTTGTCTACCATGAAATAAGGCATTTAACACCTAGTTTTTTTTTTACTTGAATTTAGACACCGGCTCATGACATCAGAAACAAACACACACACACACACACACACACACACACACACACACACACACACACACACACACACACACACACACACACATACATATATATATATATAGTATGTGCAGAAGCATATGAACAATTTATTTATTTATGCCATTTCGAATCAGAAGTGGGTACTGCGCTTCTGAAATTCAGAATAAATATAAATTAGACAATATAATTTTTCAGAAAATATTAATTTAAATATATTAATTACTTAAAAACCAATGCTGTTTTTAAACTTATAATACATTTAGTCAAAATGTATTATGAGTTTAAAACACCATCGGTTTACCATAACTCAAGACATCCTAACTCTTACCTATTAGTAATAATTACCTTTCCCGAACAATATCAATTCGTAAAGATCAGAGATTATTTTCAAATGAAGAGACGATAATAATTCCCTACTACGCTACCTATATGTACATACAAAGACTAGAATACAAAAACTAAATAGCTGATAACCCAAAGCCAGTAAACTTTTATAAACGAAGAAAGTATACAAAAATATATAAATAAATAAAGTAAAAATAAAGTATGTTAAAATAAACAAATTCAAATTCATTACTATAAATAATCTAAAACATTAATCAGTAACCCCCCACCTGTCCCCTACTAAGAGAACATTGCTACATACGAAACGCTACAATCTTGCCACCGAAATAGACAGGATGAAAATTGCGTACATACGTGTGCTCGAACGTATGAATGTCTAACTGTGCCTAACTCAAGATTATGAATATAGGTATGTATGAACTAACATGCATACGCCTGCATGTATGTATGTCTATGTATATGTGAGTGTCATTCCAAAAAACACAGAAGAAAAATTCCCCACCCTCCACCACACACAAATAACCAAACACAAATAAAGCATAAATAGTCCCACTTTTGAAAAAATAAACCAGTTTATCTGAAGATCGTGAAAGCGTGAAACCTGGAATAACAAGCTACTATCCATGCAACTGCATATATTAGCTCTATCATGGATATTGAGCACTTTCCACGAAATACCGCATATATATATATATATATATATATATATATATATATATATATATATATATAATATAATAATGTACATCATCTGCTATCACGTGTTAACTGTTGGGCCAAGATCTTTCCCAATACTTTCTTAAAATACTGAGCAAAAAATTCCTCTATTTCATTTCTTCATCTTCTGTCTGCTTTTTCCCCCCACTACATATGATATCCATTGATCATCAATGAAGCAACCCTTTACTCCATCTGTTATCTTTCTATGTGACTCGTCAACCCAACTATGTTTTTTTACTCATGATGCCTCTTATCTTGGGCTGCTTTTCATCCATACTCACCTGTTTTGGTACTTCCTAGAATTGCACTTATCATTAATCTTGGCTAAGTTTCTAAGTTCATTATGCATTTTAATGTTGGTTTTAAATCGGTTTTGTTATATATATATATATATCTATATATATATATATATATATATATATGATATTAATAATATATATATATATAATATTAATAATTGTGTACTTAGACAGCAATCCTTCATTTATACATGTTTCATTAATAGCGACAGACAAGGTGCTTTTCATTTAATTTTTCTTGTGTCCGAACAGGTGCTTTCTTTTCTGGACACAGTGTGTAGAAACTGTCCAAATGTTCTATAATTCTGAGTGCTTTCGGCTTTACTTTTAGACATTATCAAGGATCATTTTATTTTTACTTTTTTACAGTTTCTACACAGACTGTGTCCAGAAAAGAAAACACTTGATCGAACATAAGAAAAATTAAATAAAATCTTAATCCCAGCACCTTGTCTGTCGTCTTTAATGAAACATGTAAATAATATATTTATATAGTATTCATTTTATATATATATATATATATATATATATATATATAAAACTAGACATTGAGATCAACAGGCTTAAACACAATCTTGAGACCATGGTCTGAAGTTTGTGTTTAAGCATGAAACAGATTGAAACTTTTATATTTAAATTTATATACGTTCTATCCCTGATATACCGTACCTGGGGAGTTGAAAAGTTTTCAACACATCTTCGTACCTATTTTAGTAGGTTTGAAGAAGTTTAAAATATGTAGTATTATTTTGTTATGTATCATTTTTTTATATATTATGTTTTTTATTTTTATTTTAAATACGTTTTTCTTTAAATTGGTAAATCTCTGGCATTTTCATTTGAGAAAATATATAATCAAGCGAGCGTGTAGCTATGAAAAACGAACGGTAAGAAAGAGGCAAAGTGTGTGTATGTATGTGAATTTATATGTTGTGTGTGTGTATAGGGGCGTGTTCCTGTTTATGTGTGTGTGTGAGAGAGAGAGAGATAGGAAGAGAGAGAGAGAGCAATAGAAAGAGGCTTAGGAAATAAAATGAAGAATATGAATAAGGAATGAACACGCAAAGAAATGAGAATAAGAAAGACAAGTAGATAGAGTGAGAGAAATAGTGATAGATAGATAGATAGGTAGATATATATGAACTAATTAAGGAGAGATAGATAGATATGAACAAGTTAAGGATAGACAGATATATATGAACTAATTAAGGATATATATATATATATATATATATATTGTGTGTATTTAGGCAGCATCTTTTCATTCATACACGTTTTATTAAATAATATAGACAAGTGTGGTCTATTTATTTTATGTAAATTTTTTCGTAACGTCTGATAAGTTGAATAACATTATCGTTGAACGAAGAAAGAAATTCACAATATTGATCCATATTTTTTTATTTAGTACAATCTAAGCTTTCGGCGTACATAAGCCATTATCAAAGCTGTCAATTACAACATAATATACGAACAAGACAGTGATGATAGTCTGTCATAGTTTACATAGATCTATCTATCTATCTATCTATATATATATATATATATATATATATATATATATATAGATAGAATGTGAAAGGGAAGCGAACAATAAAAGGAAGAGAGAAAAGAATGAGATAGGAATAGGGATCAGAAAAAGAGAAGGAAAGAAATAGCGTAAAATAGAAAACGAGAAGAAATATGCTGAAGGTAAAAATGAACAGATGAAAGAGAGAGAGAGAGAGAGAGAGAGAGAGAGAGTGAGAGAGATTGAGAGAGAAAAAGGTAGAGAATAAGAGTGAGAGAGTGTGTAAGAAAGATTGAGAGAGAAAGAGAAAGCTTAAAAGAGAATACGAGAGAAAATAGCCTGAAGGTGAATATGAGCGAAAGAGAGACAGAGACAGGGAAAGAGAGTAATAAACACAGAGAGAGAGAAATCGTCAAAGAAAAATCGAGAGGAAATAGGCTGATGGTTAAAATGAGCGAATGAGAGAGAAAGAGAGAAAGATAAGGAGTTAGAGAGAGACAGGGAGTAAGAAAGAGTTAGAGAGAGAGAGGGAGATTATTTAATGTATGCTAGTGATGCGATCATAGGCATTTCTAATAAACAAAATAAAATTTCGAAATCGTGCAATTTTCAGCGGTCATTTTTTTAAAAGGAGATTTGAAAAGCCTTTGCAATTATGACCGTCTTTAATTTCACTGCACATGAAGTGGATAGTCATAAAACACGGATGCTGTTTGTCTTTGTGACAGACGCGTGTCATTTTGTGCTTAACCTTTTCATCCCATCAACATTTGTTGCGCACAGTTTACGACACACCCACTCATACGAACAACAAAGAAACGAGTACACAAGCGCAGAAACACAGTAATCAAAGAGGTACACACTCGTGCATACACACACCTCATATATTTACGTACCCCATGAAAAATATATGAAAAGCATACAAAGTTGTATACACAGTTTTCATGTAAGAATTCCTTATATTAACCGCCCCTTCGCATCACACCCTCGAACGCACGCATGCACTCGTATATATATATATATATATATATATATATATATATATATATATATATATATATATATATATATATATATATATATATATATATATATATATATATGAGATAACGATATATATTTCTATATATAAAGAAGTTTTGGGGAAAATATATGACAAAGTGGAAAAAGTTCATTTCTGACGGGCTTTGTCCTTTCAGGATTGCATCGGACTAAATTTGTTATGTTGGTACGACCTACACATTCGTACAAAAGTGGGGTACTGGGGATTTTAGAGTCTTTTTTTTATCTAGCCGAATTCAAAAGAAAAGGACTCCAAATGAAATCGGCTAGATATAAAAAAAAATATGTTTATAAATATGGTGGAATCTCCCGTCTTATTCCTAGGAACCGACAGCCAGGCACTAGCACATGTGATTTGATTATAGTGATGAAGGTTTTGTGCAGAACCATCCACACTTTTTGAAGGGCCGAATACAGAGACCTGGTGTACTACGTGCCACAAGGTCCCCAAACGACCCTACGCAGGTTTTGAATTCAGAGTTGTCCTTCTTCTAGACCAGTTGCCATCCAAGGCTATAGAACCCAGTCTGTCCTGCTATTTACCCATAGCTGGTGGGAGAAGAAGAGGATTCATACCATTCCCAAGGACACGTAAGTGAATGTAATGGGTTCGACTGGGATTCTCCGATTTCTCAATTCGAGCCGAAATACATTACTCCACGGTGCCTCTTCTGGCCAGAAGAGTTGGATTCACACCTTTCCCAAGGGTATTAGCACGTAAGTGAATGCAATGGGTTCGACTGGAATTCGAACGCAGCTATCTGAATACTTAATCCAATATATATATATATATATATATATATATATATATATATATATATATATATATATGTAATATTCGTGACTTTGAAAGGATTATGATAAAATTTAGTAATTTTAATTTGTAGTTTGTAATTTATTTAATCAGATATGTTTATAAGAGAATTTGCTGCCTAAATACACACACACAAGCACACACACACACACACACACACACACACACACACACACACACACACACACACACATATATATATATATATATATATATATATTTCAATCAGCACCTGGCGTTTGCTATGTTCATGAAACTCAGAATTGTGCAGAACCATCACAAACTTTTGGATGGTGAGCAAGAACCATCCATTATACACTTTTTTATTAGATGGTGAGGAAGAAATATATATATTTATATATATATATATAATATTATATCTAGAGTTTTAAAATATGATATATTTATGGACTATTTTATTAGATACCACCAAATATAAAAAGTGGGCACACAGCATTATATATATATATATATATATATATAATAAAAAATATATATATATATATATATATATATATAATATATAATAATAATAGAGTTTTAAAAATATGATATATTTAATAATAGGGATAAAATGCAGGTTCTGTGACAAATATGAGATAGAGCCATCTAATCTCAGGATGTTCTATATAAAAATGAATATAAAATCGTCACGATAAGGTCCACTGGACAATAATATTTAGTAAACACTTGGATCCACATCGTATCGATTACAGAATGAAAATTGGATGAATAAAAACAGAAAAATTGAAGCAAATAGGCCGGACATTATTGTCAAAAACTGTCCACTAATGTCCTTGGGGTCTGTGATGCAACAGAGAAAAACTATCAAAATACAAAGACCTTTGAATATCAGAATTACCAGTGTATAATAATAAAAAATAATAAAGAATAATAATAGAAAATTGTGAATAAGTAATAATAATAATAATAATTTGTCTATGTAACGCTAATTCATCGGAATAAAAAAAAAAAAAAAAAATAATAATAATAACACACCACGACTTAGAAATATCCGCTCAAATATTCCATACTAAAATCGAATGATATATTTTAAACGGAATTTCAATATTTTTAAACTTCAACTAGATAAAATGTATTATTGGTCATTTTGTTATAAAATGTTTTGTTGGTAATTATATAAAATGACATTGCTAGTCATTTTACTATAAATAGGTATTGTTGGTCATTTTACAATATAAAAATGCATTGCTGGTAAATTTATAATATAAAAATATATTTTTATGCTTTCATAATATTTTTTGTTTTGCTTGGGGTTTCACTATTTGCCCGTAGATAGGAACCTAACTGGGGCTACTATCCCGAGTTAGGGTGGACCTGGGAACAACAGTCATTAAGAGGTGCTTCCACACCCGTCAAAACATCCAATCTTCCGATCAGAGGCCTTACTCCCGGATGTAGTTTATCGTCATACCCAGGAATTTATTTGAGAGGAAATTGTCCAGCATATTAGAGGATTGATATTACATAACGAAATAATAAACTGGTGTTTTTTACATTTTTTAAAAAAAAAATCTATGAACAGCAGTAAGCAATGCGCATTGTAGTGTATCCGTTGCCAGAAGGTTAAAGAGGCTTTATGTCACTTGGATTACGTTAAGGAATTCAACTGGAACAACGAGTTATTTTGTTACGATTCCTTCTCTTGGTATTAATAATGGTGATGATAAGAACAATCACTGAAGGCGTCACGATGTTGGTGATAGTATATTCCAAACGACAATAGCATCGTGAAAATTAACCTTAAATCAGACCGCACCTTTCTTCTCAACTTTCTCTTTTTTTTTCGTTCCTTGCAAACAATAAACGGAAAGTTTTATTTATTTATTTTTTTTTCACAACGGGATTCTCCCTTTGTTTATGAGTAAACAATAACCCTGCCGGCCGGCTACAAAACAGGCATATCTATCTATACAAACATATATACACACGCAAATGTGATAGCCGCCACCTTTTTTTGTGTTTTTGTTTTTTGAGTATGACTATCGTAAGACATCATTGTAAGGCTCATGACTTATTTTGTTTCTCTGAGGACACGTATAACCATAAAACCCAAAGAGAAATACAGTTAGAACTGAACACAAAGTTTTTAGATTACGAACAGAGATAAACGCATTAAGTAAAGTATATGAAACAAGGGAACTTTCTAAACTTTCTTTCTAAACTAATTTGGAACCTATCACTTCACTGATGGCAAGATGACGAAATTTCAAATCTAAATGGTTTGTACATTCAAAATATTAGATTTATGAGAAAATGTATTGTATGGCTGGCCGCTCATATCTGAATATGCCTGTTTGCAATAGTGGCTTGTTAATCCCTGTTGCAGATGCATGTTCAGGCACATTTGTGTTTGTTTAACACCCACAGTCAACCTGTGTTTTATACTGCAACTATGCTGAGCAGACATTAGTTACAGTTTCTGGGAGAGAGCGCAATTTCCTGGTGTGATCAACGGCTTGAACAAATTTGTGTGCGTCTGTGTGAACATTAAATAGCACAAAGGGCTCGGAAAATCTGACACTCACATGACAGGTTGAAGCCAAGGAAAACAACGCATAACCTCTCTAGCGAGCAGAACAGGATGGTAAATCAGGGATTATGAAAAAATAGCAAAAAGACAAACTTTATTAAGAGCTACAAAATGCAGGAAGTTGTGGAGAGCCATGATCGCCCACGTCCCGAAGGGTCACAGTATATAGAGGAAATAGGTCAACGGTTAATTTCAGCAGCTAGTGCAACAAACAAAGTCAAAAAATACAAAATTTAATTAAAAGCTACAAAGGATAGGAAATTGTGAAGAGTCATGATCGCCAATGTCCTGAATGGACACGGCACATAGAAGAGGATATGTAAGCCACAATACAGCAATACACATTGCATACGGGCATGCAAAGTGATACGCAGACAGTGTTCGACTGACATAGAATCAACTTTTCTTTTGTTATATAGATTATATAATCTGATGTGTTTTATTATTTTCCCCGTTTTAGTTGAGAAAAGAAATGCACACGACAGAATGAATTATGCAACGTCATTGGGTAAATCTTATTCGATTACATAGAATTATTGTTTCGTTTTCGTTGTACTTTGAAAAAAGATAGTTTGAGTTGTGGTAAAAAGATAAGATTAACTACTAGTAGTTATTCATCGAGTGAATGGATGGTGGGGTAAAAGACAGGAAGTTGTGGAGAGCCATGATCGCCCACGTCCCGAAGGGTCACAGTATATAGAGGAAATAGGTCAGCGGTTAATTTCAGCAGCTAGTACAACAAAGTCAAAAAATATAAAATTTAACAAGAGCTACAAAGTTCAGGAAATTTTGGAGAAAAGCAACGATAATGGCTAGTATAATATATTAATATATATATTTTTAACCTTGCATAATCTGGCAACCCTGAATCTGAGCTCAACGAAAATCGTTACCTGCGCCTATCTTTTCTAGGGCTTTTGAATGAGCTATGAATCATTGAAATCGGACTAGTGGGAACGGAGGAATTGCTTGGACACACACACACACGCACACGCGCACAAACTCACACACATACACTGTACTTTATATATAAGATATAATCTGATGTGTTTTATTATTTTCCCCGTTTTAGCTGAGAAAAGAAATGCACACGACAGAATGAATTATGCAACGTCATTGCGTAAATCTTATTTGATTGCTTACAATTATTATATCCTTTTCGTTCTACGAGGGTAAGACAAATATTACTCACATTTTTGCCATAACGTTAGGTTTGTCACACTGCCTCCAGGTCATGCGTACTTATAGTTGGTACTATTGTATCAGCTTGATCGCGACAGTTTTCTTGTTGCTGTTACAGTGTAAACATGACCGCTCCACCAGAAGTGTTCACCACAGAGAAACAAAGAGCAGTGATCCGAATCTACAGAGATCATGCTTCCTCATCGATGATAACTCGCCAGTTCGCTATTACTATCGTTCGAGCTTGCTGAATCATCTCGTCAATGGTGGAGGTTGAGGGGCGTTCTTCTCTCTTCGTGCGCCACGCTTATCCGGATACTTTAAAACTTCTCGATTCACTCAAACACACTTCTATGCGATAGACACTGTCGCCGTATTGTGTTAAAAACCTCCAATAAATCTCAGCCCCAGACACACATCCCGACCAGAGAAATCGAATCACTGTTCATTGTTCCTCCACTGCTAACAGAGCGGCTATGTTTATACTGTAACAGTAGCAGGAAAACTAGCGCGATGAAACTCAAACTTCGATCACGTGGCCACAATAATGTCAACTATAATCACGCATGAGCAGTAGATAGTGTTACAAACTTAAGCTATGGCGAAAATGAGGATAATTTTTGTGGGAGCGTTTAGGTTTGCACTCTCCAATTTAACTAGGCCTGACGTATTGATCTCAATGTTTGTATAAACGAAACATACAGTTTCAAGATAATTGAATTGATAGAATTAGTACGCGTTCATTGTATTGTTGTTAATAAATTACTTTTAAAATCTTGCTGTAAATTCACGCAACAGCTTTAATTAGAACCTTCGATGTAGGCTTTTTAGCTTACTAGAAAAGCAATAAATAAATGGAGACGTTGAATAGAAATGAGTTACAGTGGCGTGTCCACACGCGAGAATATTACTTCCGCAAGGCGGGAAAGATGGAACAGAAACGCCTCAAGCTGTTAATAGGTAAAGGACATTTTTGAAAGAACGAAACAAAACGAAATAAAATGGGAGTCGATGCCACTTTTACGTTCGTAGTGATGGAAGGAAGAGAGCTTGGAACATGGAAGGGGCCAGTCTAACAGTCGTTTCTATCATGACTTCCGTCTGTGTCACGTTTACACTGACCAGCGGGAGACTGGCGGGATTTATGATGGGAACGTTTTCGGGAAATGGAAGTTTTATTGATATCGACTGGTGTGCTGGACCCATGTTTTTGCTGAGCTGACACGTTGGGAATGTTTTATAGTTATCTCGGCCGGCCTGGGGCTTTCACTAGAAACGATGGGTCTTTCTTTCTTAGCGCCTCTCTCAGACTTTTCACACACACACACACACACACACACACACACACACACACACACACACACACACACACAGACAGTTGTACGTACACACCGTCATAAGTACACACACGTTTACAGCTGCACTCAAACCTGTGCACACAAACATCTACACATGTCTAAGTATATCCACATAAAAACATTCAATTTCACACACATATATTTATACATATGTAAATACACTCCAATACGTAAATCGAAAGGTACACCTATTCATATACTTGCATGCACGCTGTGCATCTGTTGATAATTATCAGGTTGGTCTCGCAAGCCGTTGTCAGTGAACCTCTTTTGGGTCTTCATGCGAACTTTTGCTATAAAACGTTAAATTGACACATATTTCTTCTTACTATAGACGTTATTTTCTATGGGTATAAATGTCTGAGTTGTCCTCTCTGTTTATTTTTTAAGCAATGAAATTAATAGCTACCGGCTTAGACGCACCGAAAGTATTATTATAGAAAACTTACCTCCCGGCAGTGATTAAACCTGTATTACTTTTTTACCTTAGGGAAACCAGACGTGCGTTTAGCGTTTCAGCCACGGTGACACGTACAGCAATCGGTTAAAAGAGTAAAAGCACGCCCGGCTACGAGGTGGTTTCCCTGAGGTAAAAAGGGAATACAGGTACATTCCCCTCTGGGTGGTGCATTTTTATAAAAAATAAATCCATTAAGTGTATATCTACATGAGTAAAAGTCTCACAAGAAACGTGCATTTCTTAAAAAATATAATTGCGTATTGAGAAAATTATTCGAAAATAATTATTTTCGAATAATTTTCTCAATACGAAAAAGTTCGAAAAGCATTTATTCGAATTGTAAATTGTTTGAATGGAAATTAACCGAAAGGATAATTATACTAAATGATAATTATTCGAAATGCCTATGTTTGAAAGACGTATTGATTGGTCCAGATCTTTATTTCGCTCACTGGAGTAGACTGTTCTAGTTCCACGTGCCATGTCTAATGAATGTCAGTTATCAGTTGTCTCCCCTTAATTGCCCACTTCCGAGGTGGTCCCAGCTATGTGCAAATAATGAACACCCAAACAAAAATCAACAATGCATTTTTATAAATTTACCAACAATATATTTCAATCTACAAAATATATATCTAAAAACATACCTTTACACTGAAAACATAAAATTATGTACAAAATATTTGTAGTTGAAAGTATATAATTACGTAGAAAATATTTGGATTTCGTCGTTAAATAACTCATTGAGGTTGGTATGCCGCCGAACAAAATCAGCCAACCAATCAATTTTTACTATGTCATAACTTATGGCTTTGCGCAATGTATCACTTGTCATTGGAAAACGTTAGTTACCTCTATGGAACGCATAGATGGGAAAGTTACTGCGTCCTTTAAGATTTTTATTATGCGTCAGCGACACAGAACGCAGGCCAATCAGCATCTCTACCATTATTAACATCGATCACTTTTATATTATTTATAATAACCAAAGATTTTCCAACAATATGCCGTAAATGTATAGTAAAATTACGAATATAAAATTAAACAAAAATTACTCAAAAATGCAGTAGTCTATTTATCATTGTTCTTCGCAGAACCCCTAACAGCATCTTGCGGAACCATACGGTTCTCGGAAGCACCGTCTGAGAAACACTGGTCTGATGCTTAGATATGATCGTAATGAGATTGAGATAACGGTAAACAGATACATATGGACATTGATAGACTGATTTTGCCTTGATGTTATATATTGAGGTTAATTATCGGGATTAGGTTTGTTTCTTTTTTGGTGGCTGTTTGTGTGTGTATGTATATATATATATATGTACGGGCACACAAACGCATATATGTGTCTATGTTTAATATTTGTTCATTTATTTATTTGATGTGTGTGTGTCTGTGTGTAAGTATCTGTATATATATATATATATATATATATATATATATATATATATATATATATATAGTATAAACAGAAAATACATTAAAATAATTGTCGGACTTTATTCCATTTCATAATGTATGATGCCATTTGTTTACGGTAAGATACGCTTCGAGCAGATATGAGCGTTCAAGAAAAATCAAGGGAAATTTGTTGTTTAAAAACAGTGATTTGACTTTGCTAACCAGACGCTTCTTCTGTAGCGAAATGATATAGCACGTCAAACCAAATGACGGTTCCGTCAAGGAACAGATTCAACCTCTGTCGGAGGACACATATTTTCTATGAAATTTCTCGGACATTCATGCCGGTAAATGTAGTTAATACTGTTTATTATAAACAGAGCATTTACTTAAATATTTGTATCTATAAAAATAGCGCATAAACAAAATATATATATTCCATTAGGAACATAATAGTAGAAAACACAAATATATTAACCTGCATCCACCTGCAAAAAAGACTAAAAATAATGGAAGCTTTAATAATAAAAAAGAAAAAAAGCCAACTCTTAACAATATTAAGTACGAACAAAGCCACAATGTGCTAACCGTATTCGGAAATTAAAAACATCCCTACCACACACCAAGACATACACAGAACGCACACACTCAATTAAGCTGAAAAATCGAATGATCCTTGATAATGGCTAAAGGTATAGCCGAAAGCGCTCGGAAATATAAAACATTTGGACAGTTCTTACACACCCTTTGTCCAGAAAAGAAAGCTCTTCTCAGAACACAAGAAAAAATAAATAAAAGCTTAACCGTAGTACCTTGTCTGTCGTTTTAATGAAACATGAATATATATATATATATATATGAAAAAATCCATTTCATAATATATATATATATATATATATATATATATATATATATATATATATATATAGACACTAACACGCCGCCTTACCAAAGGACCTAAATACCCTTAAAAAAGATTAAATCTCGATCAAGGAAAGCAATAATAAAAAAGAAAAATATGTATATACATGCATACAAATTAGGTTAAAGACCCGCGAAATATCTTAGTTTATGTTTTTTTTCTTTATTTCGGACAATTTTACAGGTTTCTGGTACATATTGAAATAGAAATTGTTTAATTCTTGAGTACATTACTTAAAAAAAAATAATGAAAGAAAGATGCAATATCACGAAATTTCACGTAAAGAATTGATGAGACGATATTTTGAAAATGATGAAACCGACATAGCACAGAAACATAAACTTTTGAAAATGGTTTATTTATAGCCTAAAATTCATTAGACATTTTATATTAAAATATGCACCTGAATTCATATTTCAGTATGTATTGGAAAGCACGAAAATTATCTTAAATATATAAAAATATCGTCGACAAACAACTTCCGTTGGTCTTTAACTAAACCTGTATAAATGAAAAAATGTTGCTCAAATAGACCCAATTCAATATATATATATATATATATATATATATATATATATATATATATATATATATATATATATACTGCGCGTGTGTGTATGCATATATAATGTCAGCGTCTGATAACCTAGTTTCTGATTACAGTTCTCGACATAGAATCGAAAGCGGAAGTTGGTAACTTAACAGGTTGCAATGTTCATCCCCACCAAAACATAGTGATTGATCATTTAAATGATTTGGTCAGTCTAACTTTACAATACATACACACTCACACACGCACACACACATACAAACGTATGCGTGTGTATGTGTGTGTGTGTCTTTGTGTGTGTGCATATATTCCATCAGGTTTTGTAAACACGTAGATAAATATAAAATAAATCTACCCCAAAAGAGAGGAGCATTTACTTCCCCCTTGTCTAAATGAAACACTCCCCCCATCGTCCGGATTATCATGAAATCTCATAGAATTAATGTCAGTGTAATGTTAGAATATTTTCTGACAAGATGTGAGAGATCGCTTAGATAGAACAAAAAATAAACGAAGCTGGGAACATTTTGAAGTTGGTGGGTTGGTGACACATCGTCAGACGCTAGACATGGCCTGATTTTGCGTAATCTTAAGGCAGAGACCTATTTTTAACAACCTCGTGTCGCCAATTTCCAGTTATTATTTTGAAGATCGATTGTTAGTCTATTTATCTCTTTTTACTGACTGCAGAATTGATTTCATTTATGCAGATGACTCAGAGATGACAACAAACACAGAAAGAAAATGACGGAAACTCTTACAGAAGGTAGCGGGAAGAAAGGGTTTAACATCAGTTGTAAGAAGACAGAATGCATGGTTGTCAGCAAAAGGGACAATCCACCAAGCAAATTACAAATTGGGGATAACAAAAATCAAGCAAGTACAAAAATGTCTAGGAAGTATTTTAACAGATAACGGAAAGTGCGACATTGAAATCCAAAGAAGCACTGGGATAGCGCAAGATGACTTCAAAAGCTAAGCAAAGTATTAAGAAACAGGAAAATCTTGTTAGAAACTGTTGTCACCAAGGAAAGGTGGTAATGAACGATAATACTTAGGACAACACGTAAAATTTGCCAGCGGCGCGTAGAAGTAGTCAAGGTGGAGTAATGGATAGCGGCTCGGATTGAGGAATCGGAGAACCGAGTTCGAGTTCCAGTCGAATCCATTACATTCACTTACGTGCTTGGGAAATGAATCCTCTTCTTATCCCTCTCTGCCCTTCGGCATAGCATCGTCTGGGGATTCTCTCTGCCCGGTGGCAGAGAGTTTGACTAGCACAGCTGGAGATGAATCTTCAACTGCAGGATATCTACCTACCCATCGCGGTCAGGTGTGGCACAAAGTGAAATTTAATAGGGTATCCGAGCCCGTAGGCTCCGCCAAAAATTTCCTTGGAGACAAAATTCCCTTGAAGACAAATTTCCGACTACAGACCAACATACAGTATTAACTATTGTATTTATGTGAATGGGGACATGCCTATTATTGTCCGTAGGTATGCTATAACAGGAACAAAAAAGATATTAGAATAATCTAGAATTTATATTGGAAGCAAACCACCTGCATGTGGTCAGAAAATGAACTTAGTAAATATACACAGATAGGGGTGGGTGTAAGACAAGTTTGTGTCTTCTCACCGGACTTATTCAACTTAAATAGTGAAGCGATCCTGAGAGAATTAGAAGTCCAACCAGGATTTCATTATTAACAACATTAAATATGTAGATAACACAGTTCTAGCAGACTTAGAAAGGAAACTACAGGATTTCTTCAAGAAGATAATAAAGGAAAGTAAGAATAATGGACTAAATATTAATTGTAAGAAGACAGAATGTATGGTTGTTAGAAAAAGAGTCAGTCCAAGATGCAAACTGGATATAGCAAAATCAAATAAGTACAACAATTAAATTACCTAGGAAATATTTGAACAGAGGGCATAAACTACGACACGGAAATCCGTAGGCGAAAATCGAATAATAATTGATTGATTCGTTTTCTCCGGCTTATCAAACTTTTGCAGATTATTTAAAGCTAAAGAATAATTTTTAAATTGTAAGAAATTTTTGAGATAATAATGATTTAGTTATACAAGTTTTACTAATTAACCCATAGCTAGGGAATAAGAGGTGGAGTCATATCTTTACCAAGGGTATTTGCGCGTAATGGAATATGACAAACTCAAATGGAATTGGAACTCTGACCTCCGATTAAAAAATCCGAGTCATTATCCATTGCACCACCCGCACATCTAAGCTTACAGCACCTGGTATTCCCAAGCGGTCACTCATCTAGGTACTGACCAGGATCGACGTTGCTTAACTTCGGTGATTGCATGGAAAAACGGTGTTTTGACGTGATTTGGCTGTAAGGCTTGAATAGCAAAAGATGCCTTCCAAAAGCTAAGTAAAGTACAAAGAATCAGAAAAATTGCGTTAGAAACAAACAAAAAAGTACTAAACTTTTATGTCATATCGGTTTTCCTATATGACAGCGAATGCTGGAATTCTCCTTACAGATGAAGAAAAGACTTGAGTCAGTAGAAATGTGGTTCTACAGAAGGATGCTGAGAATTCCATGGATTGAACATGTGAACAATGACGAAGTTTTAGAGAAAATAGAAACAAAAAAGACGCTTATACATTCCCTCAGAAAGAGATAGTTGAAATTTCTAAGGCGGATAATAGTGGAAAGAGGGCTTGGAAAAGTTAACACACAGAGGATACATTGAAGGCAAGAGCCACACAGGAAAGCAGCAAGCTTTGTAAATGGTTGGCCGAACCGAGATTAGGAGAAATAGCAAAAGGACAAACATTACTAAGAGCTACAATAGACAAGAAGTTGTGGAGAACTATGATCACACACGTTCTGCAGGGTCACGAAATATAGAAGAAATCTATCAGAGGTTACTTCCAGCAATTAGTGCACTTTAACCCTGCGTTAGTCATTTGGATTTCTGAAAATGGATAATCCTCTGGGTTGTTTACAAAACCCAATACAAAAAGGCTGATATTGTTACAATTATGTAAAATATTCTCGTACATCTGAAAATCTTCATTTAAGCATGTTTGATTGAATAATCTGAATCTATCTATCTATCTATCTATCTATCTATCTATCTATCTATCTATCTATGTTTAATGGAATGTCCCATACTCCCTATCGCCTATATGGAGTGACTGTATCAGTAGCTATATAGAGTGAGCACGGGATATACCTGGGGGACTTGCTTTGGGAATTACTAGCCTGCCACCCGATTCCCTATCTTTCAGTAGCGTATTCGTATTTACAATAAACCTCTCTTCTTTCATCTAGGCGTGTGTTGCTGTTCCTTCACTCAGTACCACCATTGTCTGTTTGTAATCTCTTTAAGGATACAACCCTATCTATCTATCTATCTATCTATCTATCTATCTATCTATCTATCTATCTATCTATCTATCCTTACTTTTCATATCTATCTATCTATCTATCTATCTATCTATCTATCTATCTATCTATCTATCTATCTATCTATCTATCTATCCTTAACTTGTTCATATCTATCTATCTATCTATCTATCTATCTATCTATCTATCTATCTATCTATCTGAATATGGTCATATCTATCTATCTATCTATCTATCTATCTATCTATCTATCTATCTATCTTTAACTTGTTCATATCTATCTATCTATCTATCTGAATATGGTCATATCTATCTATCTATCTATCTATCTATCTATCTATCTATCTACAAGTACAGGATTGATGTAGACGAAATGAAATTTCAATAACTAAAAACAATATTCTTAAAAAAAGGAAAGTTTTTAAGGAAAAGTAATATATATATATATTTTTTCTTCCCTCAGTTCCATTTTTGAATAACTTTATAATATTTTAAGTCTAATGCTCGATTTAATTTGAAATTTCTGATTTTTAATTTTCAATTTTATCGTAAATTAAAGGTTAATTGTTTCATATTGATTTTTGGTTTGATCTCGCATTAACTTTAATCGACTAAAGGTTTGTATGATAATTTACAGAACATGACAGCATATTCTAAATATGCCTTCATGTTTTGGAAATTATCATATACTTGTATTCTGATTGGTCATCATCGGTTACGTATTGAGGAGTTTGATTTGGTTTTGAATTTAAAGAAAAAAACTCTTTATTTTGCATTTTGCAGTCAACACCATCACTTCATGAGACACCAGAAATGTTGAAACAAAATGGTTATTTTTGTAGTGATGTTATAACATGCTTATGTTGTAATTTTTGAATAAATACCATATATATATATATATATATATATATATATATATATAAATTTTCAAAGGTCTTTTATCAGCCATATTATAGAAATAATGTCGGATAAAAAATCCTTTCAAAAAATAAAAACAAATAAAATTTACTGTTGTTTTCTCGTTGGGCCTTCTACGAATTTATATCTGCTAGCTTCAGTTTCGTATCCGAGTACGAAACTGAAGCTAGCAGATATAAATTTGTAGAACTTTCCTTAAATTGTTAATTCTGTCAGGCCGGCTTCGTGTCCATAATGATAGAGGCACACATTGGCTAAAAAAGTGGTTTTCCTGATGGGAAAAAACAGATGCAGGTTCGATCTCTTTAGTCCGTTTAGTCGGACTTCTCAATTTAGGCCCGTTGTCATTTCATTGTATAATTTAAGTAAAAAAAAAAAAAAAATCCAAAGCGAGCTACTTAATCATCGGACTAAATTTATTATGTCGGTGTGACAACACATGTGCACGAGGAATGCCGGGAATTTAAAATTTTTGTCTTTTAATTTTTTTTAAAAAATCTAGCCGATTTAATTTAGATTCTTTTTCTTTTTGTTTCCATCACTTTTGCTGTTAGATATTCTCCCACACTGTGATAATAGAAGTTCTGCCAGGAATGGTAAAATGTTGTAAGAGCCAGGGCGAAATTTTACTGTGGATGACCTTGCGATCAAAACAGTCTCTAAACATTTTTGTCGTAGTGAATTATTTTCACCTTTGATCAGAGTAGCATTTTTTATGTCAAAATTGTGGTCAGTCTCATATATACATCTATGTATGTGTGTGTATGTTTGTGCCCAAAGGTTTGTATAAACTCTTCGTACTCGCTCTCCATTGAAAAATCATATAAAGTAGAAATTAAAATATCCTATGTAGGAAAGTCATAATAAATAGACGGGAAGAAAATGATCAGATTACTTCAAAGCAAATCATTTAATCTTTAAACTCAGACGTGCAGAGTTTCATTAGTAAAATACTTATCACATAACAGCTGTAAACATATGTTACATTTCTAGGGTTATCCTGGCTATTATCTTTGATTTTTGCCTCATGTAAATATTTGATAATCATCAAAGAATGCTTTTGAAGAGCCTCTCTCTCTATCTCTCTCTCTCTTTCTCTCTGTCTCTCTCTGTCTGTCTGTCTGTCTGTCTGTCTCTCTCTCTCTCTCAAAGGGTGCTTCCTGGAAACCTCCAATCTTACTGAAACCGAAATTATTTTCAGGGTATATTTAAAAAATAATAATAATTAGTTATATGTGTAATACTATGAAGCATAAAATTTAGTAAAAATTTAATATAAATTAATACAAATTTAATATAAGTTTAATATAAAATTAATATAAATTTAATATAAAATTAGTATAAATTTAATACAAATTCAACAAATATAACCGTTATTAGTTATATATGTAATGCTATAAAACATAAAATTTAATATAAATTTAATATAAATTTAATACAAATTTAACAAATATAACCGTTATTAGTTATATGTGTAATGCTATAAAACATAAAATTTAATATAAATTTAATATAAATTAATATAAATTTGATATAAAACTAATATAAATTTAACACAAATTTAACAAATATAATCGTTATTAGTTATATGTGTAATTCTATAAAGTATAAAATTCAGTACAAATTTAATATAAATTTAATATAAAATTAATATAAATTTAATACAAATTCAACAAATATAATCGTTATTAGTTATGTATGTAATGCTATAAAGCATAAAATTTAATATAAATTTAATATAAATTTAATATATATTTAATACAAATTTAACAAATATAACCGTTATTAGTTATATGTGTAATGCTATAAAACATAAAATTTAATATAAATTTAATACAAATTAATATAAATTTGATATAAAACTAATATAAATTTAACACAAATTTAACAAATATAATCGTTATTAGTTATATGTGTAATTCTATAAAGTATAAAATTCAGTACAAATTTAATATAAATTTAATATAAAATTAATATAAATTTAATACAAATTCAACAAATATAATCGTTATTAGTTATGTATGTAATGCTATAAAGCATAAAATTTAATATAAATTTAATATATATTTAATACAAATTTAACAAATATAACCGTTATTAGTTATATGTGTAATGCTATAAAACATAAAATTTAATATAAATTTAACACAAATTAATATAAATTTGATATAAAACTAATATAAATTTAACACAAATTTAACAAACATAATAGTTATTAGTTATATGTGTAATTCTATAAAGCATAAAATTTCATTATATAACATTGTTAAGAGAAATAAAGTTGACATTTCAAACAAAGAATGTTATTCCTCTTCTTTACCGATTCTTATTGAACTCTAATGCAATATTGGTCTTCCTCTATGGGGGAAAACTTTTTTATCATAAACAGAGTATTATGACTTTCCACTTAAACGATTTAAAGTGCTACAAATGTTTCAATTCGTTGGATACGTAAAGAAAGTATTTACTATCAAGTGATTATCTACAATTCGCCTTTGGTCAGTAAAAAAAGACTGTCAAGTTTCGACTTCAGACACACTTCTTTTATTTGTTAATTTACCTCTGTCAAAACGGCCCAGCTTTCACTTTCGATATTGATTTGTCCAAATGCTGTTTGTCTCCCTATCGCGTTAAACTGTTAACCTCCACTCCATTATCTACGAAAATCTCTGCAAATACACCTGGAAAGTGTTCTGCTAAAGGACGTAAAGCGCGACACGAAATGCAACGGGAACCCCTGATAAAAGATGCGTACACGTTCACCGTGGATAGCGCAGTAGCCAACCATGTGTGTTTAATGGTCATCATTAGAAGGGGTCTAACTAGAATTGTCTGTGGTAACAGACAAACGACACTGACTTAAATTACATCTACAGTCAGTACAAGAAATACCAGATGTATATCTAGCAATTTAGTTCAAGTTTCTTTATCGTTCTTAGGATATAGGAATAAAAGACTTACCAGGGCACCCATATTAACATCACGTTGACACCCTGACACTGGATAGAGCAACTTACCTGGGCTCGGGTCTTGTAACATACCTAAATGGATCTTAGAATACTGGCAATGTGGGCGTGATTAGATGGATAACAGTTTCAGTCATTTCAAAATGTTAGTTGGGCTCAGAAGTGTCGGAGGCTCTATGAGGTCATGGGCTCCAGATGTCAATAAAGCACTGTAGAGACTGGTGGCACTTCAATAATGATACGGGGTATGTTCATAGGGTATATGTTGAATCTACAGGTCGGCTAAACCAGCGACTATTACGTTGACTATTCATGGACACATTCATGGACTCCATGTACCTGAAGCACGATGGATTATTCAAGAAGGATCATGAGCCGTGTTATCAGGCGCAAACTGCGCATAACATCGTCCGACTTGTGCCAAATCGATATTTGTGGGGCAAAGAAGTCTATTCGGACGCAATATTCTACACCTACAACTATCGAAGAACTGGGTACAGTTATCAATACGGAGTGGCTCAACATTTCTTTAGAGGCCTACCAACACCGCGTCGGGTTGCTGCACTTCCTTGCGTTAGCGTGGGCCTTAAACGATACTATGCACCTTTCACGTGCTTTTATCGTATATTAAAGAATTTATATTTAATGAAAGAGTATTGACTTAGTTTTTCACTCTATTACCTTTGTGTATAATTCATGCATTATTTAGCTATGGATTTTGTAAAATTTCTAAGTAAATACAAATAGTAGCAATAAATAGTGTATATAATTCATACATTATATATATATATATATATATATATATATATATATATAGAGAGAGAGAGAGAGAGGTTATTGATACAATAGAAAGAAGAATATGCAATGTTATTGGTCTTAACCTGGCATCTCGGCTTAAGTCACTTTCCTACCGCCGTAATGTAGTTTCCCTGTGACTTTTCTATAAATATTTTCATGATAATTATTCTGATGAACTTTACGGTACGTGGACTTTATGAATTTAAGCGCAGTACCAGATTGGCAGAAATGTCTCATCATATGAAATGACTAGATTTAACCGTAAGTTCTATGCTAACAGTTTCTTCTATCACACTTCTCTCTTGTGGAACTCTTTTCCGGCTTCTTGTTTTCCTTTCAACTTTGATCTTCACTAAAATTTAGATGCAGTGTCAACTGTTATCTAGTGTCTTCTTAATTCCTGTTCTTTTATTGTTGCTTCTGTTTAATAATGTTTTTCTCATGTTCTTCCACAGTAAGTAACACCCTGCGTCTTAGTGGCTTTGTTGCCTTACTTGGGATGAAATAATTAAAAGAAAAGAAAAGCGCTTTGTAGCAACCATCTACAGGACGAAAGAACATAGGCCGGCAAGCCATGACATTGCCAAATATACTGGCATCGGAAATCTAGAAGAACTCCAAACAGCTATGGTGGCTCAGGTCCTTTGGAGACAGCAAACTGAGATGTTGCTGCCGGAGAATCAGCCAAAATAAAATAAATACCGCATATCACAGATTGGATAAAACGATAGATACGTAAACACTGTATACGGGTAAGTTGAACGCTTTTCATCTGACAGAATTGATATTGCGTGCAGAGATGATTTCCTCCTTTGACACGGCTTATGGACATATCACGTTGAAACACCAGTTCTCGTATGATAACCGAACTTAAGCAATGTCGAGCCTGGTCAGTATGTAGATGGGTGACCGCTTGGGAATATCAGGTGCTGTAAGCTTGAATGTGCGGGTGATATAATGGATAACGGCTCGGATTTGGAAATCGGAGAGCCGAGTTCGAATTCCAGTCGTGTTCGTTATATTCACTTACACGAAAATACCCTTGGGAAAGAAGGTATGAATCTACCTCTTATCCTCCAAGCTATGGGTTAATTAATAAGACTTGTATCAGTAAATCGTTATTATCTAAAAAAAAAAAATCTTAGAATTTAAAAATATTTTCTGGCTTTAAATAACCTGCAAAAGGATGATAAACCGTAAAAAAGTAAATAATTTCCCTTTTCATACAATTATTGCTTTGGGCCTATACGTATAGACTCCTTAGTTCAGATGCATCCGCTTAAAAAAGTGATATTAGATGCGGTAATCTAGGTTTTGTTTGATTAGTTTTGTTTTATAGTGTATTTGTTTTATAGTGTATTTGTTTTACAGCGTATTTGTTTTACAGCGTATTTGTTTTACATTGTGTTTGTTTTACAGGTTATTTAATACTGAATGATATCGTACAAAAAGTAGGTAGACATAGGTTTGGTTTGTATGAGTCAAGAAAGATAGAAACAGGTTTGGTTTAACACATGAGCCAAAAAGGGTAGACAACAGTACAGACAATAGGCAGCCATTTTCTTCTTTTTTTATTTTTGGGTTGAGGGAAATCCTTTATTCGGGGATACAGTCGGCGTATTCTGGGCCCTAACTGACAAAGCGAGGAAATATGGAAGACCATTCAATTGGTCATCGCCTTACGACCCACCTGTTTGGAGGTATCACCATCCCGTTACAGATACTCCTATTAGCATTTTGGCGGCTATTCTGTACACATTTCATCGTAAAGGTTTCATTATTAGTTATAGAGTCTGGACGACCTCTAAGCAGATAATCAAAAACTTTTTAAAACGTTTAAAACTTTTCCAACGATGTTTTCTTTTGTTGTTATGCATTCTTACCTGTATTCTTTCAACTGGATTGACCAACAATTGAGCAAAACGTAATGTGCATCTTGTTATGCATACAAGAACGAGATCAACGTGATATTCTATCGTTTCGAATGTTGGATTTGACATAAAATGAGTTGCAGCTGATTATTTTGAATACCCGGATGTGGCCGATCATGGCCCTCTGTCGATTCGTTGGCTTTATTATCTCTGAATTGTCATAGATTGTTGGGAAAGATGGTGGCGTGGCTTACCGTTTGACTTTTACACGATTCGGAATTCAGATTATTTCCTCTGTTAGATTGGCTGCAGCCCAGGGCTAGACAGCCTTTTCTATTCTGCTATTTAATACCTATTTGGGCGGGGAGAGAAAAGATGTGTTCATGCCTTTTTCCCAAAAATATTACTGCGAAATTTAACGCAACACGCTAAGCCTGAATTTGAACCCAGTTCGCCGATACCACTTTTTTGCGACGATAATCGTTGCATAACCTGCCCAGTAGAGTAGAATTTTTTTATTTTTATTTTATTTTTTTTTATTTACAAAACTTGCATGTAGGCTACCAATATTTACAACGACTACGTTAACAACTCAGATACCGAAGTTTCGCATTTAAGACCCAGGATGTATTTTTTATGAGAGACATTTTTACGGTTAAATGTATGGTCTATGCTAAGAGTTTCTTCTATTGTTATACTGCCCCCCCCCCACTTCTGGTCTGGTCTCCTGCCACATATTTAGAGATTTTTGATAAAATCCAAAGAAACTGCAATGTTATTGTTTCTAACCTGGCAACTCGGATTCAGGCACTTTCCCTGTGTCTTTTTTTATAAATTCTTTCATGTTTCTGATGCACTTTCTTCTATGGTATCTAGATTTATGAATTTAAGCGCAGTGCAAGATTGGCGGCAAGGTCTCATCATTTTACAGTTAAAATGGCCAAATGTAACCGTAAGTTCTATGCTTGAGGTTTCTTCTCTCGCACTTTTCGCTTGTGGAACTCACTACCGGTTTCATGTTTCCCAGTCATTCATCTTAAGCGCAATGTCTTCTGTCTTCTTAATTTTTTTATTGTTTTCTTTCCTTAATAGTGGTTTTTCTTATATTCTCTAACACCCAGTAACCGTTTGCGTCCTAGTGGCTTTATTTCCTTGCTTGGAGCGAAATGAAAAGCAAAAAAAAAAAAAAAGCAAAAAACAAAAACAATTGGGCGTTATACGTTTTGAAATACGACAGTAATGGCTAAAGCAAATTTGTTTTGGAGCAGTCTAATAGACTTTTTTTGTAGATAGGGGTAAACAAGCGTGTTAATAAAATTATAATTCCAGCATCTTAAAGATTGTCAGCTGGAAACTGTGTAAATAAAACATTTTGGTAGTTTGACTAAAAGATAAAAATTTGAGAATTCCTTGTGTAGGAAATTGTTGAAAAATCTGTTTTGGATTTTCATCACCTTCATTAGAAAACGCGCATGGAATTCAAACAATCAACGTATGCCTACCATTCTTCCTGGATTTTCACAATAAAAATAACTTGAAGCTATCAATAAACGATATCTTTGTCAGTGCAATCAGGGTAAGTGCCTTATCGAACATCATGAGGACTCCCTGCGAGATTCTGTCCGAAATAAATAGTTTCAAAGTTTCCCTCGTTAAAATATGACAGTCCAGATGGCAGACAAGTTACTCCACCCTTTTAGTTGCCTTCCCAACACCGGCTCATATATATATATATATATATATATATATATATATATATATATATATATATATATATATATATATATATATAAACAAACAAACAAAAACAAAACGACAACAGGTCAAATTGTAGCAGGCTACTTCTGATTGTTGTCAACAGTGGTAGTAAAGTTAGCAATGGTCGAGGCAGAAGATTTAGATATAAACTGACAATCCTTATTCCATGTTATTATGTCTACAACACGAATAAACACTTTCGCAAACAGGAAATATTTAAGAAGGCAATTTTAGAAGTCTTTCAAAAATATTTACATACCACTACCTAAAATGTGTATAAGGTTTTTTTTTTTCTCTTTTTGGTATATTCAACCTAATTACACTGACGTTTCGTTTGAGATTTAAATATTTTTGTTGCCTCCATCTATTTTCCCAGACGATGTCATCGAAATATTGTCTCCTTCTTTTTTTTATTTACCGCCATCCTTTGTAACTTTTGGTTTATTTTTTTGGCAGTTCAAATTTTTTTGCTAGCGACAGTCAAAATATATTTGTAAAGATTTGATACAATGTCCATGCTATATACAGGACTCTCGTGTCGACATGTCAGTCAAGAAAATAAAGCAATTCTCGCATGTCGGTCAGACTTGGATGTGTTGACAACCTGATATGGTTACGTGAAAACTATAAGTACTTGAGCAGACATATATATATATATATATATATATATATATATATATATATATATATATGTGTGTGTGTGTGTGTGTGTGTGTGTGGTACTTGGCTGTGCGTAATAGGGTACTGAAAAGTTCTTAGCTCAAGAAAAGATTAAAAATTTATATTGATGTTTAATCAGATTTGGGTAAGTACCTCCAAAAAATCCGTTAAAAAAGAGCGTACCATGATGAAAAAGCATCAGACTTGATGGAAACAAAGTTTTATCGTCAAAAGGTTTTTGTTATTATTAAGAGGAAAGTATTTTTGATTATTTTATTAAATTTTTTATTTTAATCCTTTCTAACACGTTCGACACTTTGGTTAAAAGTCTCGTTTTTTCTTGTGTTAGTATGGGAAATTGAGCGTCTTTTTGCAATAAAAACACATTGTTTGGGAAATTCTTAGAAAAATCAAATAATTGTCGGATTTTAATTAAATTTTCAAGACTTATTCACAAATGAATGAAATTACTTTTGAATTTTTTCTTTTTAGAAAATCTTGGTAAAAATATATTTTTACGTCTGTTACCGCCACACTTACTTAGTTTTATGAAATTTTGAGAAATCTTCATATTTATATTAATTAAAACATGACTCATTGGAGACTTTAAATCATCAATTTGTTTTGTCAAACAGAATCACCAATTTATCGAAAATTTGCTCTGAATCGTAAAATAATAAAATGCAATAAAATAATGACATTATTTAATTAGAAAAGGATATAATTGCTTTTATAAATAAAATATATTAAGGACACTATTGTCTTAAGAAAAAAATTCGGTGTATAATGAATTTTTACAAGAATTGTTTTCATTTATTAAAAATTTTAATTAAAATAATTTATTAAGTTTTAAATCATTTAAAATTCCGTATTAATTTCGCCCTTTTAGCTGATAAGGAAAACTATATTTACTAATCATAAATGGAAAAGCTTAGTACAAATCATCAAATATTTTTGGAAAGAATTTTAAATTTTTTCGTATGTTTATACCAATTTTTGTAAATACGGACGACCATACACGACATTATCAGAAAATAAGTGCTATAACTATAGACAAATAAAAACATAACAATAACACAAAATAAAACAGATTACCGAGAATATTTTCTTAAATCTATAAGATTATAGAGTACTTAAAAATTGAGTACTCACGTTAATTCAACTATTTTTTTTTACCGCTAAAGACTCCCATAGAACAACATAGATAAATATCAATCTGTCATCAAGCTGTCAAACAAGGCAAAAGCTTAAAAAACATCTACCGCTGTGTTAAAAAAATGCATTTCTGTGGTATTTTAAACTTAAAGTAAATGATATTTGTTTCAAATCAAATTAACTATACTTTAAATCAGATAATATTCCATAAATAAAGTTTCAGAAAAGAAAATTTCATTTTCGGAAGATTTTTCAATAAAGAGAATTACACTGCGATGAAAGACACTAATCAGCTATTTTAGCAAAAAAAAAAAAAAAAAAAACAAGACCAAAACAAAACAAAATAAAAAAACAAAAAATAAGCAAAAACTCTTCCAGTCAATTTGAGTTAGTTTTAAAATACAGTAAAGTATTTTGCTTATTGGAAATATTAATTTTATTTGTTAGCTTGAAATTAAAACTAAAATAAAAACTTCAAGAAATATTTTTTCA